GCCCGGCGTACTCCGTTTGGAGAAATATCGAGGCTGCACATGTGTAGACTTCGCGGTCTTAAAATCCCCACAATGCTTTGCACACGGACCAATTTCCCCAAATCTGTGGCGGAAGATGTAAGGAGGCGGGGCCTCTCATATGACGCACACCTGCACACTTGCTCGCCTGTTCCACTCTTTGTTTTCCAAATGCCAGGAAGTATTCTTGACTCGCTTCTGAAGCAAGATGCTCGGCAGACATGTGCTACCAAGCAAGCGTACTCGACATTGAGAAACACCCACACTCTCTCTCTCCTCCTGCAGCCTCTCTCTCTCACCTCCTCTCTCTCCTCCTGTAGCCTCTCTCACCTCCTCTCTCTCCTCCTGTAGCCTCTCTCACTCACTGCTCTCTCTCCTCCTGCAGCCTCTCTCTCTCACCTCCTCTCTCTCCTCCTGCAGCCTCTCTCACCTCCTCTCTCTCCTCCTGTAGCCTCTCTCTCTCACCTCCTCTCTCTCCTCCTGTAGCCTCTCTCTCTCACCTCCTCTCTCTCCTCCTGTAGCCTCTCTCTCTCACCTCCTCTCTCTCCTCCTGTAGCCTCTCTCTCTCACCTCCTCTCTCTCCTCCTGTAGCCTCTCTCTCTCACCTCCTCTCTCTCCTCCTGTAGCCCCTCTCACTCACCTCCTCTCTCTCCTCCTGCAGCCTCTCTCTGGCCGAGCGCTCCTTCAAGACTCTGGATTTCTACAGGAAGCATCAGGACGCCATGACGCCTGCAGGCCTCTCCTTCTTCCAGAGCCAATGGGACGAGTCCGTCAGCGACACCTTCCACAACTCGCTCAGTACGTCAACAAACACCTTTTATTTTCTTTAACCATGTATTCAACCATATATGCCGAAACCCTGCACCCTATGTGTATATGCTCTACATCTGCCCATTTTCAAAATACATTTATATATATGTATGTACATTGTTCTGTTATGTGATTTCATTGAAACCTCACTTTATGACATTACATAGCATTGACAACAAAGTGGAATCTAATCTTCCAACCCAGACTCACGGCATTTCGTGTTATAGTCACGAATTCCCAATTTCTTTCGTGTCACACAGAATAATTTTAAAAGCAATGTAAATAATAACAAATTGGAAGGAAAAAAAGATTACAAAAATACAGGTCTCAGTATTCTGAGGCTCTGAGACATTTGTTTTCCTCGCAGACGGCAAAAAAAGTCGGACATTATACAATTTAAAATAAAAACAATAATCGTGGCTTGATATTGAGTAAGAAAATGTTTTTCCAGTCTTCCAAGACCCGACCGGACTAAAAGACGTGTTGCAGGCACGAAACACACTACCTATAGAAATACATTACTTTTAAAATCGTTCTGTGCGACACGAATCAATAGATTACATTAATTTTGTGACTATAACAGGAAATGCTGTGAGACTAATAAAGCTGTATTTCCCGTCTTAATAAATCTGTATTTCCTGTCTCTGCAGATATGAGGGAGCCGGTGTTTGAGTTCATCCGCCCCCCGGTGTACCACCCCCCCCAGGTCAAACACCCCCACCGGCAGCCGCTGCGTTACCTGGACAGGTACAGGAACGGGAAGGAGCACACCTACGGGATTTACTAGTTCTGAGACTCTAGAAAAACCCTCAAAATGTCCTCAGGAACGGGAAGAATCATCCGGGATTTACAAATTAAGAGACTTCACAAAACGTTCAAAATGTCCTCACAAATGTCTCGTCATGTTTGGCGAGTTTATGTTATCAATAAAGCAATTTTCAGTCGTGCTGATTTAAGTTTTTTTCTCACAAGGTTATTTTTTCCACTTATTGGATCTGTTTCTTTCAAAATAATAAACTTTAAATGTTTTTGATGCTACCGGTACAAGAACGGGAAGGAGCACACCTACGGGATTGACTAGTTCTGAGACTAGAAAAACCCTCAAAATGTCCTCTCAAATATGTCGTCATGTTTGGCGAATTTGTGTTATAAAGCATTTTTCAGTCGTGCAGATTTCATTTTGCAGGTTATTTTGACCACTTATTGGATCTGTTTCTTTGTAGGAAACAGGCAGGATATGGCCATTTAAAAAATGTGAGATTTATCTCTAGAAAATGCAAACAAGAATATTTCTGACCTAAGAACTATTTAAAACATTTAATTAATGCAAAACTTTCTCAAAAGAAAATTTAAAGGGGACCTATCATGCAAAATGCACTTTTGTACATCTTTTCTACATGAATATGTGTCCCCGGTGTTCCAGGGAACTCACCAAGTGTCAGAAAACACAACCCTCTCTATTTTCCTCCATACCCAAATCTCTAAAAAAGGGGCTGCAACGGATCTGATAAAAACTGATCCAGATTTGAACACGTTACTGACGTCAGGACAGTGGCGCTACGGCTATTGGGCCAACTCTCCACCTATCAGGGGAATGTGGGGTTGGGCCACGGCCGGCCATTGCCGCTCGAAAGCGCTAGAGACGCTGTAGTACATATGCCAGGCCTGTAGATGGTGCTGTTCTCACAGAATCAGCCCTTGCAAAAACAGAGCTAGAAATTGTCAAATTGAGCAAAATGAGGCATGGCTAAAATGCATGATCTGTTTGGTATTTTGAAAAAAAAAAGTATAAATATGCCTTATATAGGTATGGTCCTACACTATATTATTATAATATAGCATGATAGGTCCACTTTAAATAGCATTTTTTTTTTTTTTTAAAGAAACTTGAAATAAGAAACTTAAACTCAAATGAACTGTTTTTCAAATGCTACCTGGACAGTTACAGGAACGGGAAGAAGCACAGCTACGGGATTTAAATGAGTCTTCAGAAAACATTCAAAATGTCCTCGCAAATGTGTCGTTTTTGGTGAATTTAAAGCATTTTTTAACGGTGTATATATATATTTATATATATATATAAATATATATATATATATATTTATATATATATATATATTTATATATAAATATATATATTTCTAGACACATATATATATATACAATCTGATACTAGGTAAAAACTCTGAAAAAGCTCCATTAAATATGTTTTGAAAATACCCTTCCTCTTCAGAAAACAAAAAATGCAATACAAAATAAATAAATAAAATGAACAACGCCCTCCTGTAATACTTGATTCTGATTGGTCGATTCGAACATTTCAGAGGTTGTGTATACCTGTTGACACACTGCTGTAAAACACAACATGCACATTTGCTTATTCCTTGCAAAATATTAAAATAAAATGGGCAAAAATATAACTTATACTGCTCAGGATAAACATTTAAAGTGCTGTAAAGCAGAAGTACTTCAAATAAAACAGTTGTTCCAATGCTACCTGGAACAGGAAGAAGCACAGCTACGGGATTTAATGAGTCTTCCTCGCAAATGTCTCGTCATTTTGGCGAATTTATGTTGTTATTAATATGAGAGGCTGTGGGTCAGTGGAGAGTGTGCTGGACTTCGAATCAGGGGATAGCAAGTTCGATTCCCACTGCAGTCAGCATGTCGTTGTGTCCCTGAGACACTTCACCCCAAACTGCTCCTGTGGGGATTGTCCACAGAACTGAATGTATGTTAGTCACTTTGGATAAAAGCGTCTAACAAATGACATGTAACGTAATAAAGCAATTTTCTATCGTGCTGATTTACAGTTGTAGGGTTTTTTTCTCCACTAATTGGATCTGTTTCTTAGTAGAAACCAGGCAGCTGGATATGGTTATAAAAACAAGGCAAATACAGAACATGTCCTAAAGTTGTAGAGACAGGTTTAAATGATTGTGCATCCTTGATGGGAAAACCATGTTTTTATTCTCTGGTCTTTGTTAATTTTTATTTTTATTGCAATAGTTGTACATTATTGATGTTAAAGTGGACCTATCATGCTATATTATAATAATATAGTGTAGGACCATACCTATATAAGGCATATTTATACTTTCTTTTTTTCAAAATACCAAACAGATCATGCATTTTAGCCATGCCTCATTTTGCTCAATTTGCACTTTTTTTTGCTCTGTTTTAGCAAGGGCTGATTCAGTGAGAACAGCACCACCTACAGGCCTGGCATATGTACTACAGCGTCTCCAGCGCTTTAGAACGGCAATGGCCGTGGCTGTCTCCTCCTGATTGGTGGAGTTGGCCCAATAGCCGTAACGCCACCGTCCTGACGTCAGGACAGTGTTCAAATCTGGATCAGTTTTTATCAGATCCGTTGCAGCCCCTTTTTTAGAGATTTGGGTATGGAGGAAAATAGAGAGGGTTGTGTTTTCTGACACTTGGTGAGTTCCCTGGAACACCGGGGACACATATTCATGTAGAAAAGACGTACACAAGTGCATTTTGCATGATAGGTCCCCTTTAAGTAGACGGCATATTCCACTTATCGGATGTGTTAAGTAGAAAACCTGCAGGAGGATATGGTTATTTCTAAAATGTGAGATTTATTTCTGGAAAATACAGACGAGAATATTTCTGAACTACTTAAAACATTTTATATTATACATTTCTCAAAATAAGAAACTTTAAAATAAACATTGTTAAAATCCCTTTAAATGAGAAAAACATTTTTAAATTAACTCTCAAAATAAGAATGTTTAAAATAACATTAAACTTAATAAAAACCTGTTTTTTAAAATGCTACTTGGACCAATACAGGAATGGGAAGAAGCACACCTTCGATTTACAAACTACAAGACTTCAGAAACATTCAAAGGTCCTCGCTAATGTGTCGTTATGTTTGGCAAATGTAAGTTATTAATAAAGCATTTTTTAACGGTGCTGATTTCAGTTAGCAGCAGGATATGGTTATTTTAGAAATGTGTGTTTCTATCTGGCAAATACAGATTGAAAATAAATGCTGAAGAGAAACTGAACATTTATATTTTGAGTGACAGGTTTAGAAGATTGAGAAACCCTGAATTTGGTTTACCAAGTTTATATTCTTGACTTTTCTTTTGAGTCTAAATTGTTAGACCACCTTTTTAGCATCTTGTTATAGTCCAGCACAGAGAAGTGCATACTTCAGACTAACCTGCAATAAAGGCTGCATTTGGAAGGATGGCAAGGTTTTCTAATGAACATTTCTCAAAACATTGCACGTTTAATCTTCTCCCTTTTACTGACATGACCAATGTATGCTAATCCTATGTAGCATGAGAGTTAAAGACTGTTCTAGTCCTGATGAGCTTTCATTGGACTGTTAAGGGAAGATGTCTGCATGATAAGAGCCAAGCATTGCAATACAAACATTGGATTGACACGCTGTTATTCAAGAAATGTATACACGCTTTATTATATTGCTGCTAAGATAACAACTCAGATATCAAGCTCTTCAAGGCACTCAAAAAATACGAGATGAATCTATGATATGTATTGATCGTCTCGTTGAACTGTTCCTCTTCGCTCGTCGTCCCGTTGAACTTTTCCTCTTCGCTCGTCGTCCCGTTGAACTTTTCCTCTTCGCTCGTCGTCTCGTTGAACTTTTCCTCTTCGCTCGTCGTCCCGTTGAACTTTTCCTCTTCGCTCGTCGTCTCGTTGAACTTTTCCTCTTCGCTCGTCGTCTCGTTGAACTTTTCCTCTTCGCTCGTCGTCCCGTTGAACTTTTCCTCTTCGCTCATCGTCCCGTTCAACAACTGCTCGTCTACTTCATGGGTATCCAGGAGTACTGAAAAAACATTTGAGTCATAAATGATGGACGTCAAGACAATAAATGATGTTCTCTCGACTGAAGTCACAGCATGAATTCTTGGTTACTTAATAAATCCTGTGTTTGTGAAAAATGAGCGACGTTGGCAGTGAATTCAGCAACCAAGCATTGATGCATTAACTTATAAGACATGCAAGTGGTTTGTTTTAGCTCTGATACACGATTAGCTTGACATTGCTGTGTTTCAAATTCAATCATACATTTCACAGATCTGTGACACCACTTTCATGAGACACATGCTGTTGTCTTTTTGGCCTTTATAGCTCACCTTTGTGCTCATGCTGGACACCCCCCGTCGAGCCGTTGTTCTGCTGGACGCCCCCCGTCGAGCCGTTGTTCTGCTGGACGCCCCCCGTCGTGCCGTTGTTCTGCTGGACGCCCCCCGTCGTTGCTTTGCCCCAAATGACAAACCGGTTCTGGACGTCCCCAGTCGTGGAGTCTACCCCAATGACGACCCATTTCTGGACGTCCCCCTCCTTGGCCACTCCCCTAATGACGACCCGGTTCTGGACAGCCTCTGCTGTGGCGGTTTTCGCTAATGACGATCAGGTTCTGGACGCCCCCCGTCTTGGCTTTGTCCTTAATGATGACCAAGTTCTGGACGCCCCCCGCCGTGGCGTTTCCTCTAATGACGACCCGGTTCTGGACGTCCTCAGTTGTGGAGTCGCCTCCTATGATGACCCATTTTAGGTCACGCCCCGCAGTGGAATTTCCCCTAATGACGACCCGGTTCTGGACGCCCCCCGTCGTGCCGTTGTCCCTGGTTACGACCTGGTTCTGGACATTTGTTGTCTCGTTGACGCTCTGGGGCTTTTGTTCAGGATTCTGGTGACCAGACGCCTCAGCTTCCACGTCATTGGTTTCCAGTTGTACTGAAAGAAAGAAGGATTGATTAACAAATGAAGAACCAAAAGAAATCACGTGATGTTATACGTCGACTGAAATCACAGCGTGAACTGTTCTGTAGGTTTCTTTTCATTCTTGCTTTTTTTAATGTGGCATTTGTTGGATTGAGGGACCGTTTTTAAGATCAATTCTCAAAGTTCTTCAATTTGGCGCGACATTTCTGAAACGCATGGCATCAACATGCACAATATATCATGGGATGGCCATCAAATACACACATCTGCCCAATTTCAAGTTTTTAAAACCAGTTTAAAGCATTATCCCCCCATAGTGTTCCTCAAGGGCTGGGGGTCTTCACTTGGTATAAGACATACAGAGATCATAATGTTTGAAACCCTTTTATACACGGTTTAAATATCTTGAGTTCATCTCATATTTCCCAGCTTTCAGATCCACCACTTTAATGCGGCACATACTGTTGACCTTTGAGCCTGTAGGGCTCACCTTCTCTAGCATCTCGGTCTAACATGGACTCCATCGACTTGAAAAGTGCAAAGGCTTTCTTTAAGGAGATCTCATTGGCAGACAGATCTGTAGGACACATTATAATGAAAGGTTTAGTGTCAGACAGAGAGAAGAAACACTTCATACAATCAAATGTGTTCAACTCTCAGTCTCCTCTGCAGCTTCTATTCACCAGCTGGAAGAGCAGAGACTGTGGACAGGAAACATGCTGTTCAATCAAACATTATTCCTTCATCTTCAATACAATTATCAAACAGGTAAATACCTCTGGCCAGACAAACAGTCAGCACACAGACGAGCATCCAAACAGCTGCCATCTCTGCAGTTTTCCAAGAGAGTGTTGCCTGAGCAGCAGCCAGCTTTAAAGAAGCCTCCAGCAGCTGCTGCTGATCAGCACTGATTGGCTCTCTGCACAGAGGAACACACCATTTCTCTGAGAGTACACTCTGACAATGAGCAGCTTTTCATGGAGCTTGTTGTGCATGTATGATTAGTAGAGACCATCATTTTAAATTCACATTAAATATATTAAATATTCATATATTGAGTTTTTACTTTTCTCCCTTTTACAGACATGCCAACTTTATATCAATCCCACCCATTACAAATCGTATATCTTATATTTAAACATGTCTGCATGATTAGGGCTGAACCTTTCTAGATATATATTTATATATATATATAAATATATATATATATATATTTATATATATATATATATTTATATATAAATATATATATTTCTAGACACATATATATATACAATCTGATACTAGGTAAAAACTCTGAAAAAGCTCCATTAAATATGTTTTGAAAATACCCTTCCTCTTCAGAAAACAAAAAATGCAATACAAAATAAATAATAAAATGAACAACTCCCTCCTGTAATACTTGATTCTGATTGGTCGATTCGAACATTTCAGAGGTTGTTTATACCTGTTGACACACTGCTGTAAAACACAACATGCACATTTGCTTATTCCTTGCAAAATATTAAAATAAAATGGGCAAAAATATAACTTATACTGCTCAGGATAAACATTTAAAGTGCTGGAAAGCAGAAGTACTTCAAATAAAACAGTTGTTCCAATGCTACCTGGAACAGGAAGAAGCACAGCTACGGGATTTAATGAGTCTTCCTCGTAAATTTATGTTGTTATCAATATGGGAGGCTGTGGCTCAGTGGAGAGTGTGCTGGACTTTGAAACAGGGGATAGCAAGTTCGAGTCCCACTGCAGTCAGCATGTCGTTGTGTCCCTGAGACACTTCACCCCAAACTGCTCCTGTGGGGATTGTCCACAGTACTGACTGTATGTTAGTCGCTTTGGATAAAAGCGTCGAACAAATGACATGTAACGTAATAAACAAGGCAAATACAGAACATGTCCTAAAGTTGTAGAGACAGGTTTAAATGATTGTGCATCCTTGATGGGAAAACCATGTTTTTATTGACGAGTCTTTGTTAATTTTTATTTTTATTGCAATAGTTGTACATTATTGATGTTAAAGTGGACCTATCATGCTATATTTTAATAATATAGTGTAGGACCATACCTATATAAGGTATATTTATACTTTCTTTTTTTCAAAATACCAAACAGATCATGCATTTTAGCCATGCCTCATTTTGCTCAATTTGCACTTTTTTTTGCTCTGTTTTAGCAAGGGCTGATTCAGTGAGAACAGCACCACCTACAGGCCTGGCATATGTACTACAGCGTCTCCAGCGCTTTAGAACGGCAATGGCCGTGGCTGTCTCCTCCTGATTGGTGGAGTTGGCCCAATAGCCGTAACGCCACCGTCCTGACGTCAGGACAGTGTTCAAATCTGGATCAGTCTGTATCAGATCCGTTGCAGCCCCTTTTTTAGAGATTTGGGTATGGAGGAAAATAGAGAGGGTTGTGTTTTTCTGACACTTGGTGAGTTACCTGGAACACCGGGGACACATATTCATGTAGAAAAGACGTACACAAGTGCATTTTGCATGATAGGTCCCCTTTAAGTAGACGGCATATTCCACTTATCGGATGTGTTAAGTAGAAAACCTGCAGGAGGATATGGTTATTTCTAAAATGTGAGATTTATTTCTGGAAAATACAGACGAGAATATTTCTGAACTACTTAAAACATTTTATATTATACATTTCTCAAAATAAGAAACTTTAAAATAAACATTGTTAAAATCCCTTTAAATGAGAAAAACATTTTTAAATTAACTCTCAAAATAAGAATGTTTAAAATAACATTAAACTTAATAAAAACCTGTTTTTAAAATGCTACTTGGACCAATACAGGAATGGGAAGAAGCACACCTTCGATTTACAAACTACAAGACTTCAGAAAACATTCAAAGGTCCTCGCTAATGTGTCGTTATGTTTGGCAAATGTAAGTTATTAATAAAGCATTTTTTAACGGTGCTGATTTCAGTTAGCAGCAGGATATGGTTATTTTAGAAATGTGTGTTTCTATCTGGCAAATACAGATTGAAAATAAATGCTGAAGAGAAACTGAACATTTATATTTTGAGTGACAGGTTTAGAAGATTGAGAAACCCTGAATTTGGTTTACCAAGTTTATATTCTTGACTTTTCTTTTGAGTCTAAATTGTTAGACCACCTTTTTAGCATCTTGTTATAGTCCAGCACAGAGAAGTGCATACTTCAGACTAACCTGCAATAAAGGCTGCATTTGGAAGGATGGCAAGGTTTTCTAATGAACATTTCTCAAAACATTGCACGTTTAATCTTCTCCCTTTTACTGACATGACCAATGTATGCTAATCCTATGTAGCATGAGAGTTAAAGACTGTTCTAGTCCTGATGAGCTTTCATTGGACTGTTAAGGGAAGATGTCTGCATGATAAGAGCCAAGCATTGCAATACAAACATTGGATTGACACGCTGTTATTCAAGAAATGTATACACGCTTTATTATATTGCTGCTAAGATAACAACTCAGATATCAAGCTCTTCAAGGCACTCAAAAAATACGAGATGAATCCATATGTATTGATCGTCTCGTTGAACTGTTCCTCTTCGCTCGTCGTCCCGTTGAACTTTTCCTCTTCGCTCGTCGTCCCGTTGAACTTTTCCTCTTCGCTCGTCGTCTCGTTGAACTTTTCCTCTTCGCTCGTCGTCCCGTTGAACTTTTCCTCTTCGCTCGTCGTCTCGTTGAACTTTTCCTCTTCGCTCGTCGTCTCGTTGAACTTTTCCTCTTCGCTCGTCGTCCCGTTGAACTTTTCCTCTTCGCTCATCGTCCCGTTCAACAACTGCTCGTCTACTTCATGGGTATCCAGGAGTACTGAAAAACATTTGAGTCATAAATGATGGACGTCAAGACAATAAATGATGTTCTCTCGACTGAAGTCACAGCATGAATTCTTGGTTACTTAATAAATCCTGTGTTTGTGAAAAATGAGCGACGTTGGCAGTGAATTCAGCAACCAAGCATTGATGCATTAACTTATAAGACATGCAAGTGGTTTGTTTTAGCTCTGACACACGATTAGCTTGACATTGCTGTGTTTCAAATTCAATCATACATTTCACAGATCTGTGACACCACTTTCATGAGACACATGCTGTTGTCTTTTTGGCCTTTATAGCTCACCTTTGTGCTCATGCTGGACACCCCCCGTCGAGCCGTTGTTCTGCTGGACGCCCCCCGTCGAGCCGTTGTTCTGCTGGACGCCCCCCGTCGTGCCGTTGTTCTGCTGGACGCCCCCCGTCGTTGCTTCGCCCCAAATGACAAACCGGTTCTGGACGTCCCCAGTCGTGGAGTCTACCCCAATGACGACCCATTTCTGGACGTCCCCCTCCTTGGCCACTCCCCTAATGACGACCCGGTTCTGGACAGCCTCTGCTGTGGCGGTTTCGCTAATGACGATCAGGTTCTGGACGCCCCCCGTCTTGGCTTTGTCCTTAATGATGACCAAGTTCTGGACGCCCCCCCGCCGTGGCGTTTCCTCTAATGACGACCCGGTTCTGGACGTCCTCAGTTCTGGAGTCGCCTCCTATGATGACCCATTTTAGGTCACGCCCCGCAGTGGAATTTCCCCTAATGACGACCCGGTTCTGGACGCCCCCCGTCGTGCCGTTGTCCCTGGTTACGACCTGGTTCTGGACATTTGTTGTCTCGTTGACGCTCTGGGGCTTTTGTTCAGGATTCTGGTGACCAGACGCCTCAGCTTCCACGTCATTGGTTTCCAGTTGTACTGAAAGAAAGAAGGATTGATTAACAAATGAAGAACCAAAAGAAATCACGTGATGTTATACGTCGACTGAAATCACAGCGTGAACTGTTCTGTAGGTTTCTTTTCATTCTTGCTTTTTTTAATGTGGCATTTGTTGGATTGAGGACCGTTTTTAAGATCAATTCTCAAAGTTCTTCAATTTGGCGCGACATTTCTGAAACGCATGGCATCAACATGCACAATATATCATGGGATGGCCATCAAATACACACATCTGCCCAATTTCAAGTTTTTAAAACCAGTTTAAAGCATTATCCCCCCATAGTGTTCCTCAAGGGCTGGGGGTCTTCACTTGGTATAAGACATACAGAGATCATAATGTTTGAAACCCTTTTATACACGGTTTAAATATCTTGAGTTCATCTCATATTTCCCAGCTTTCAGATCCACCACTTTAATGCGGCACATACTGTTGACCTTTGAGCCTGTAGGGCTCACCTTCTCTAGCATCTCGGTCTAACATGGACTCCATCGACTTGAAAAGTGCAAAGGCTTTCTTTAAGGAGATCTCATTGGCAGACAGATCTGTAGGACACATTATAATGAAAGGTTTAGTGTCAGACAGAGAGAAGAAACACTTCATACAATCAAATGTGTTCAACTCTCAGTCTCCTCTGCAGCTTCTATTCACCAGCTGGAAGAGCAGAGACTGTGGACAGGAAACATGCTGTTCAATCAAACATTATTCCTTCATCTTCAATACAATTATCAAACAGGTAAATACCTCTGGCCAGACAAACAGTCAGCACACAGACGAGCATCCAAACAGCTGCCATCTCTGCAGTTTCCCAAGAGAGTGTTGCCTGAGCAGCAGCCAGCTTTAAAGAAGCCTCCAGCAGCTGCTGCTGATCAGCACTGATTGGCTCTCTGCACAGAGGAACACACCATTTCTCTGAGAGTACACTCTGACAATGAGCAGCTTTTCATGGAGCTTGTTGTGCATGTATGATTAGTAGAGACCATCATTTTAAATTCAAATTAAATATATTAAATATTCATATATTGAGTTTTTACTTTTCTCCCTTTTACAGACATGCCAACTTTATATCAATCCCACCCATTACAAATCGTATATCTTATATTTAAACATGTGTGCATGATTAGGGCCGAACCTTTCTAGACATATATATATATATAAATACATATATATATATGTCTAGACAAATATATATATACAATCTGATACTAGGTAAAAACTCTGAAAAAGCTCCATTAAATATGTTTTGAAAATACCCTTCCTCTTCAGAAAACAAAAAATGCAATACAAAATAAATAATAAAATGAACAACGCCCTCCTGTAATACTTGATTCTGATTGGTCGATTCGAACATTTCAGAGGTTGTGTATACCTGTTGACACACTGCTGTAAAACACAACATGCACATTTGCTTATTCCTTGCAAAATATTAAAATAAAATGGGCAAAAATATAACTTATACTGCTCAGGATAAACATTTAAAGTGCTGTAAAGCAGAAGTACATCAAATAAAACAGTTGTTCCAATGCTACCTGGAACAGGAAGAAGCACAGCTACGGGATTTAATGAGTCTTCCTCGTAAATTTATGTTGTTATCAATATGGGAGGCTGTGGCTCAGTGGAGAGTGTGCTGGACTTTGAAACAGGGGATAGCAAGTTCGAGTCCCACTGCAGTCAGCATGTCGTTGTGTCCCTGAGACACTTCACCCCAAACTGCTCCTGTGGGGATTGTCCACAGTACTGACTGTATGTTAGTCGCTTTGGATAAAAGCGTCGAACAAATGACATGTAACGTAATAAACAAGGCAAATACAGAACATGTCCTAAAGTTGTAGAGACAGGTTTAAATGATTGTGCATCCTTGATGGGAAAACCATGTTTTTATTGACGAGTCTTTGTTAATTTTTATTTTTATTGCAATAGTTGTACATTATTGATGTTAAAGTGGACCTATCATGCTATATTTTAATAATATAGTGTAGGACCATACCTATATAAGGCATATTTATACTTTCTTTTTTTCAAAATACCAAACAGATCATGCATTTTAGCCATGCCTCATTTCGCTCAATTTGAAAATTTCTAGCTCTGTTTTTGCAAGGGCTGATTCAGTGAGAACAGCACCACCTAGAGGCCTGGCATATGTACTACAGCGTCTCCAGCGCTTTCGAACGGCAATGGCCGTGGCTGTCTCCTCCTGATTGGTGGAGTTGGCCCAATAGCCGTAGCGCCACTGTCCTGACGTCAGGACAGTGTTCAAATCTGGATCAGTTTTTATCAGATCCGTTGCAGCCCCTTTTTTAGAGATTTGGGTATGGAGGAAAATAGAGAGGGTTGTGTTTTCTGACACTTGGTGAGTTCCCTGGAACACCGGGGACACATATTCATGTAGAAAAGACGTACACAAGTGCATTTTGCATGATAGGTCCCCTTTAAGTAGACGGCATATTCCACTTATCGGATGTGTTAAGTAGAAAACCTGCAGGAGGATATGGTTATTTCTAAAATGTGAGATTTATTTCTGGAAAATACAGACGAGAATATTTCTGAAGAACTACTTAAAACATTTTATATTATACATTTCTCAAAATAAGAAACTTTAAAATAAACATTGTTAAAATCCCTTTAAATGAGAAAAACATTTTTAAATTAACTCTCAAAATAAGAATGTTTAAAATAACATTAAACTTAATAAAAACCTGTTTTTAAAATGCTACTTGGACGAATACAGGAATGGGAAGAAGCACACCTTCGATTTACAAACTGCGAGACTTCAGAAAACATTCAAAGGTCCTCGCTAATGTGTCGTTATGTTTGGCAAATGTATGTTATTAATAAAGCATTTTTTAACGGTGCTGATTTCAGTTAGCAGCAGGATATGGTTATTTTAGAAATGTGTGTTTCTATCTGGCAAATACAGATTGAAAATAAATGCTGAAGAGAAACATTTATATTTTGAGTGACAGGTTTAGAAGATTGAGAAACCCTGAATTGGGTTTACCAAGTTTATATTCTTGACTTTTCTTTTGAGTCTAAATTGTTAGACCACCTTTTTAGCATCTTGTTATAGTCCAGCACAGAGAAGTGCATACTTCAGACTAACCTGCAATAAAGGCTGCATTTGGAAGGATGGCAAGGTTTTCTAATGAACATTTCTCAAAACATTGCACGTTTAATCTTCTCCCTTTTACTGACATGACCAATGTATGCTAATCCTATGTAGCATGAGAGTTAAAGACTGTTCTAGTCCTGATGAGCTTTCATTGGACTGTTAAGGGAAGATGTCTGCATGATAAGAGCCAAGCATTGCAATACAAACATTGATTGACACGCTGTTATTCAAGAAATGTATACACGCTTTATTATATTGCTGCTAAGATAACATCTCAGATATCGAGCTCTTCAAGGCACTCAAAAAATACGAGATTAATCTATATGTATTGATCGTGTCGTTGAACTGTTCCTCTTCGCTCGTCGTCTCGTTGAACTTTTCCTCTTCGCTCATCGTCCCGTTGAACTTTTCCTCTTCGCTCGTCGTCCCGTTGAACTTTTCCTCTTCGCTCATCGTCCCATTCAACAACTGCTCGTCTACTTCATGGGTATCCAGGAGTACTGAAAAACATTTGAGTCATAAATGATGGACGTCAAGACAATAAATGATGTTCTCTCGACTGAAGTCACAGCATGAATTCTTGGTTACTTAATAAATCCTGTATTTGTGAAAAATGAGCGACGTTGGCAGTGAATTCAGCAACCAAGCATTGATGCATTAACTTATAAGACATGCAAGTGGTTTGTTTTAGCTCTGACACACGATTAGCTTGACATTGCTGCGTTTCAAATTAAAATAATACATTTCACAGATTTCAGATCTGTGACACCACTTTCATGAGACACATGCTGTTGTCTTTTTGGCCTTTAGAGCTCACCTTTGTGCTCATGCTGGACGCCCCCCGTCGAGCCGTTGTTCTGCTGGACGCCCCCCCGTCGTGCCGTTGTTCTGCTGGACGCCCCCCGTCGTGCCGTCGTTCTGCTGGACGCCCCCCGACGTGCCGTTGTCCATGGGAACCAGGTTCTGCTGGACACCCCCCGTCGTTGCTTCGCCCCAAATGACAAACCGGTTCTGGACGTCCCCAGTCGTGGAGTCTACCCCAATGACGACCCATTTCTGGACGTCCCCCTCCTTGGCCACTCCCCTAATGACGACCCGGTTCTGGACAGCCTCTGCTGTGGCTGTTTCGCTAATGACGATCAGGTTCTGGACGCCCCCCGTCTTGGCTTTGTCCTTAATGATGACCAAGTTCTGGACGCCCCCCGCCGTGGCGTTTCCTCTAATGACGACCCGGTTCTGGACGTCCTCAGTTGTGGAGTCGCCTCCTATGATGACCCATTTTAGGTCACGCCCCGCAGTGGAATTTCCCCTAATGACGACCCGGTTCTGGACGCCCCCAGTCGTGCCGTTGTCCCTGGTTACGACCTGGTTCTGGACATTTGTTGTCTCGTTGACGCTCTGGGGCTTTTGTTCAGGATTCTGGTGACCAGACGCCTCAGCTTCCACGTCATTGGTTTCCAGTTGTACTGAAAGAAAGAAGGATTGATTAACAAATGAAGAACCAAAATAAATCACGTGATGTTATACGTCGACTGAAATCACAGCGTGAACTGTTCTGTAGGTTTCTTTTCATTCTTGCTTTTTTTTAATGTGGCATTTGTTGGATTGAGGACCGTTTTTAAGATCAATTCTCAAAGTTCTTCAATTTGGCGCGACATTTCTGAAACGCATGGCATCAACATGCACAATATATCATGGGATGGCCATCAAATACACACATCTGCCCAATTTCAAGTTTTTTAAAACCAGTTTAAAGCATTATCCCCCCATAGTGCTCCTCAAGGGCTGGGGTCTTCACTTGGTATAAGACATACAGAGATCATAATGTTTGAAACCCTTTTATACACGGTTTAAATATCTTGAGTTCATCTCATATTTCCCAGCTTTCAGATCCACCACTTTAATGCGGCACATACTGTTGACCTTTGAGCCTGTAGGGCTCACCTTCTCTAGCATCTCGGTCTAACATGGACTCCATCGACTGGAGAGGTGCAAAGGCTTTCTTTAAGGAGATCTCATTGGCAGACAGATCTGTAGGACACATTATAATGAAAGGTTTAGTGTCAGACAGAGAGAAGAAACACTTCATACAATCAAATGTGTTCAACTCTCAGTCTCCTCTGCAGCTTCTATTCACCAGCTGGAAGAGCAGAGACTGTGGACAGGAAACATGCTGTTCAATCAAACATTATTCCTTCATCTTCAATACAATTATCAAACAGGTAAATACCTCTGGCCAGACAAACAGTCAGCACACAGACGAGCATCCAAACAGCTGCCATCTCTGCAGTTTTCCAAGAGAGTGTTGCCTGAGCAGCAGCCAGCTTTAAAGAAGCCTCCAGCAGCTGCTGCTGATCAGCACTGATTGGCTCTCTGCACAGAGGAACACACCATTTCTCTGAGAGTACACTCTGACAATGAGCAGCTTTTCATGGAGCTTGTTGTGCATGTATGATTAGTAGAGACCATCATTTTAAATTCAAATTAAATATATTAAATATTCATATATTGAGTTTTTACTTTTCTCCCTTTTACAGACATGCCAACTTTATATCAATCCCACCCATTACAAATCGTATATCTTATATTTAAACATGTGTGCATGATTAGGGCCGAACCTTTCTAGACATATATATATATATAAATACATATATATATATGTCTAGACAAATATATATATACAATCTGATACTAGGTAAAAACTCTGAAAAAGCTCCATTAAATATGTTTTGAAAATACCCTTCCTCTTCAGAAAACAAAAAATGCAATACAAAATAAATAATAAAATGAACAACTCCCTCCTGTAATACTTGATTCTGATTGGTCGATTCGAACATTTCAGAGGTTGTGTATACCTGTTGACACACTGCTGTAAAACACAACATGCACATTTGCTTATTCCTTGCAAAATATTAAAATAAAATGGGCAAAAATATAACTTATACTGCTCAGGATAAACATTTAAAGTGCTGTAAAGCAGAAGTACTTCAAATAAAACAGTTGTTCCAATGCTACCTGGAACAGGAAGAAGCACAGCTACGGGATTTAATGAGTCTTCCTCGCAAATGTCTCGTCATTTTGGCGAATTTATGTTGTTATTAATATGAGAGGCTGTGGGTCAGTGGAGAGTGTGCTGGACTTCGAATCAGGGGATAGCAAGTTCGATTCCCACTGCAGTCAGCATGTCGTTGTGTCCCTGAGACACTTCACCCCAAACTGCTCCTGTGGGGATTGTCCACAGAACTGACTGTATGTTAGTCACTTTGGATAAAAGCGTCTAACAAATGACATGTAACGTAATAAAGCAATTTTCTATCGTGCTGATTTACAGTTGTAGGGTTTTTTCTCCACTAATTGGATCTGTTTCTTAGTAGAAACCAGGCAGCTGGATATGGTTATAAAAACAAGGCAAATACAGAACATGTCCTAAAGTTGTAGAGACAGGTTTAAATGATTGTGCATCCTTGATGGGAAAACCATGTTTTTATTCTCGAGTCTTTGTTAATATTTATTTTTATTGCAATAGTTGTACATTATTGATGTTAAAGTGGACCTATCATGCTATATTATAATAATATAGTGTAGGACCATACCTATATAAGGTATATTTATACTTTCTTTTTTTCAAAATACCAAACAGATCATGCATTTTAGCCATGCCTCATTTCGCTCAATTTGCACTTTTTTTTGCTCTGTTTTAGCAAGGGCAGATTCAGTGAGAACAGCACCACCTACTGGCCTGGCATATGTACTACAGCGTCTCCAGCGCTTTCGAACGGCAATGGCCGTGGCTGTCTCCTCCTGATTGGTGGAGTTGGCCCAATAGCCGTAGCGCCACCGTCCTGACGTCAGGACAGTGTTCAAATCTGGATCAGTTTTTATCAGATCCGTTGCAGCCCCTTTTTTAGAGATTTGGGTATGGAGGAAAATAGAGAGGGTTGTGTTTTCTGACACTTGGTGAGTTCCCTGGAACACCGGGGACACATATTCATGTAGAAAAGACGTACAAAAGTGCATTTTGCATGATAGGTCCCCTTTAAAGTAGACGGCATATTCCACTTATCGGATGTGTTAAGTAGAAAACCTGCAGGAGGATATGGTTATTTCTAAAATGTGAGATTTATTTCTGGAAAATACAGACGAGAATATTTCTGGAGAACTACTTAAAACATTTTATATTATACATTTCTCAAAATAAGAAACTTTAAAATAAACATTGTTAAAATCCCTTTAAATGAGAAAAACATTTTTAAATTAACTCTCAAAATAAGAATGTTTAAAATAACATTAAACTTAATAAAAACCTGTTTTTAAAATGCTACTTGGACGAATACAGGAATGGGAAGAAGCACACCTTCGATTTACAAACTACGAGACTTCAGAAAACATTCAAAGGTCCTCGCTAATGTGTCGTTATGTTTGGCAAATGTAAGTTATTAATAAAGCATTTTTAACGGTGCTGATTTCAGTTAGCAGCAGGATATGGTTATTTTAGAAATGTGTGTTTCTATCTGGCAAATACAGATTGAAAATAAATGCTAAAGAGAAACTGAACATTTATATTTTGAGTGACAGGTTTAGAAGATTGAGAAACCCTGAATTGGGTTTACCAAGTTTATATTCTTGACTTTTCTTTTGAGTCTAAATTGTTATAGACCACCTTTTTAGCATCTTGTTATAGTCCAGCACAGAGAAGTGCATACTTCAGACTAACCTGCAATAAAGGCTGCATTTGGAAGGATGGCAAGGTTTTCTAATGAACATTTCTCAAAACATTGCACGTTTAATCTTCTCCCTTTTACTGACATGACCAATGTATGCTAATCCTATGTAGCATGAGAGTTAAAGACTGTTCTAGTCCTGATGAGCTTTCATTGGACTGTTAAGGGAAGATGTCTGCATGATAAGAGCCAAGCGTTGCAATACAAACATTGGATTGACACGCCGTTATTCAAGAAATGTATACACGCTTTATTATATTGCTGCTAAGATAACATCTCAGATATCGAGCTCTTCAAGGCACTCAAAAAATGCGAGATTAATCTATATGTATTGATCGTCTCGTTGAACTGTTCCTCTTCGCTCGTCGTCTCGTTGAACTTTTCCTCTTCGCTCGTCGTCTCGTTGAACTTTTCCTCTTCGCTCGTCGTCTCGTTGAACTTTTCCTCTTCGCTCGTCGTCTCGTTGAACTTTTCCTCTTCGCTCGTCGTCCCGTTGAACTTTTCCTCTTCGCTCGTCGTCCCGTTGAACTTTTCCTCTTCGCTCATCGTCCCGTTCAACAACTGCTCGTCTACTTCATGGGTATCCAGGAGTACTGAAAAACATTTGAGTCATAAATGATGGACGTCAAGACAATAAATTATGTTCTCTCGACTGAAGTCACAGCATGGATTCTTGGTTACTTAATAAATCCTGTATTTGTGAAAAATGAGCAACGTTGGCAGTGAATTCAGCAACCAAGCATTGATGCATTAACTTATAAGACATGCAAGTGGTTTGTTTTAGCTCTGACACACGATTAGCTTGACATTGCTGTGTTTCAAATTCAATCAAACATTTCACAGATTTCAGATCTGTGACACCACTTTCATGAGACACATGCTGTTGTCTTTTTGGCCTTTAGAGCTCACCTTTGTGCTCATGCTGGACACCCCCCGTCGTGCTGTTGTTCTGCTGGACGCCCCCCGTCGTGCCGTTGTTCTGCTGGACGCCCCCCGTCGTGCCGTTTTTCTGCTGGACACCCCCCGTCGTTGCTTCGCCCCAAATGACAAACCGGTTCTGGACGTCCCCAGTCGTGGAGTCTACCCCAATGACGACCCATTTCTGGACGTCCCCCTCCTTGGCCACTCCCCTAATGACGACCCGGTTCTGGACAGCCTCTGCTGTGGCGGTTTCGCTAATGACGATCAGGTTCTGGACGCCCCCCGTCTTGGCTTTGTCCTTAATGATGACCAAGTTCTGGACGCCCCCCGCCGTGGCGTTTCCTCTAATGACGACCCGGTTCTGGACGTCCTCAGTTGTGGAGTCGCCTCCTATGATGACCCATTTTAGGTCACGCCCCGCAGTGGAATTTCCCCTAATGACGACCCGGTTCTGGATGCCCTCCGTCGTGCCGTTGTCCCTGGTTACGACCTGGTTCTGGACATTTGTTGTCTCGTTGACGCTCTGGGGCTTTTGTTCAGGATTCTGGTGACCAGACGCCTCAGCTTCCACGTCATTGGTTTCCAGTTGTACTGAAAGAAAGAAGGATTGATTAACAAATGAAGAACCAAAAGAAATCACGTGATGTTCTACGTCGACTGAAATCACAGCGTGAATTGTTCTGTAGGTTTCTTTTCATTCTTGCTTTTTTTAATGTGGCATTTGTTGGATTGAGGACCGTTTTTAAAATCAATTCTCAAAGTTCTTCAATTTGGCGCGACATTTCTGAAACGCATGGCATCAACATGCACAATATATCATGGGATGGCCATCAAATACACACATCTGCCCAATTTCAAGTTTTTAAAACCAGTTTAAAGCATTATCCCCCCCATAGTGCTCCTCAAGGGCTGGGGGTCTTCACTTGGTATAAGACATACAGAGATCATAATGTTTGAAACCCTTTTATACACGGTTTAAATATCTTGAGTTCATCTCATATTTCCCAGCTTTCAGATCCACCACTTTAATGCGGCACATACTGTTGACCTTTGAGCCTGTAGGGCTCACCTTCTCTAGCATCTCGGTCTAACACGGACTCCATCGACTGGAAAAGTGCAAAGGCTTTCTTTAAGGAGATCTCATTGGGAGACAGATCTGTAGGACACATTATAATGAAAGGTTTAGTGTCAGACAGAGAGAAGAAACACTTCATACAATCAAATGTGTTCAACTCTCAGTCTCCTCTGCAGCTTCTATTCACCAGCTGGAAGAGCAGAGACTGTGGACAGGAAACATGCTGTTCAATCAAACATTATTCCTTCATCTTCAATACAATTATCAAACAGGTAAATACCTCTGGCCAGACAAACAGTCAGCACACAGACGAGCATCCAAACAGCTGCCATCTCTGCAGTTTCCCAAGAGAGTGTTGCCTGAGCAGCAGCCAGCTTTAAAGAAGCCTCCAGCAGCTGCTGCTGATCAGCACTGATTGGCTCTCTGCACAGAGGAACACACCATTTCTCTGAGAGTACACTCTGACAATGAGCAGCTTTTCATGGAGCTTGTTGTGCATGTATGATTAGTAGAGACCATCATTTTAAATTCAAATTAAATATATTAAATATTCATATATTGAGTTTTTACTTTTCTCCCTTTTACAGACATGCCAACTTTATATCAATCCCACCCATTACAAATCGTATATCTTATATTTAAACATGTCTGCATGATTAGGGCTGAACCTTTCTAGACATATATATATTTATATGTCTAGACATATATATTTATATATATATATATATATATATATATATATATTAGGGCTTCAGTCGATTAAAATATTTAATCGCGATTAATCGCAAATTAATCGCACATTTTTTATCTGTTCTAAATGTACCTTAGAGGGATATCTTTCAAGTTTTTAATACTCTTATCAACATATGAGTGGACAAATATGCTTTATATGTTTATTTATTATCATTTGAACAATGACAAATATTCTCATGAATATTAAACACAACAACCTGAACATTACAAATATTCGCCTCAATTCAACCTGGAACCTCTCTCATACAATAATACTGTGTGTGTGTGTGTGTGTGTGTGTGTGTGTGTGTGTGTGTGTGTGTGTGTGTGTGTGTGTGTGTGTGTGTGTTTGTGTGTGTGTGTGTGTGTGTGTGTGGGGGGGTGTGGGTGTGGGTGTGTGTGTGTGTGTGTGTGTGTGTGTGTGGGTGTGTGTGTGTGTGTACTGTGATGGATCGTTGGACCTATGTGCAGCTCAAGGCATATATGCTCAAATGGGAGCTGCCTGGACGCTGCAATCATGTTGCGCGTACTATCCGTGCTGAGTGTGCTGACTTTTCGTACAATGTCCCACTGTTATTAACGCGTTAACTTGACAGCCCTAATATATATATATATATATATATATATATATATATATATATCTCTAGACACATATATATATATATATACAATCTGATACTGGGTAAAAACTCTGAAAAAGCTCCATTAAATATGTTTTGAAAATACCCTTCCTCTTCAGAAAACAAAAAATGCAATACAAAATATTCAAATAAAATGGGCAAAAATATAACTTATACTGCTCAGGATAAACATTTAAAGTGCTGGAAAGCAGAAGTACTTCAAATAAAACAGTTGTTCCAATGCTACCTGGAACAGGAAGAAGCACAGCTACGGGATTTAATGAGTCTTCCTCGTAAATGTCTCGTCATTTTGGCGAATTTATGTTGTTATCAATATGGGAGGCTGTGGCTCAGTGGAGAGTGTGCTGGACTTCAAATCAGGGGATAGCAAGTTCGAGTCCCACTGCAGTCTGCATGTCGTTGTGTCCCTGAGACACTTCACCCCAAACTGCTCCTGTGGGGATTGTCCACAGAACTGAATGTATGTTAGTCGCTTTGGATAAAAGCGTCTAACAAATGACATGTAACGTAATAAAGAAATTTTCTATCGTGCTGATTTACAGTTGTAGGGTTTTTTCTCCACTAATTGGATCTGTTTCTTAGTAGAAACCAGGCAGCTGGATATGGTTATAAAAACAAGGCAAATACAGAACATGTCCTAAAGTTGTAGAGACAGGTTTAAATGATTGTGCATCCTTGATGGGAAAACCATGTTTTTATTCTCTGGTCTTTGTTAATTTTTATTTTTATTGCAATAGTTGTACATTATTGATGTTAAAGTGGACCTATCATGCTATATTTGAATAATATAGTGTAGGACCATACCTATATAAGGCATATTTATACTTTCTTTTAAAAAAAATACCAAACAGATCATGCATTTTAGCCATGCCTCATTTCGCTCAATTTGCACTTGTTTTTGAAAGGGCAGATTCAGTGAGAACAGCACCACCTACAGGCCTGGCATATGTACTACAGCGTCTCCAGCGCTTTCGAACGGCAATGGCCGTGGCTATCTCCTCCTGATTGGTGGAGTTGGCCCAATAGCCGTAGCGCCACTGTCCTGACGTCAGGAAAGTGTTCAAATCTGGATCAGTTTTTATCAGATCCGTTGCAGCCCCTTTTTTAGAGATTTGGGTATGGAGGAAAATAGAGAGGGTTGTGTTTTCTGACACTTGGTGAGTTCCCTGGAACACCGGGGACACATATTCATGTAGAAAAGACGTACAAAAGTGCATTTTGCATGATAGGTCCCCTTTAAGTAGACGGCATATTCCACTTATCGGATGTGTTAAGTAGAAAACCTGCAGGAGGATATGGTTATTTCTAAAATGTGAGATTTATCTCTGGAAAATACAGACGAGAATATTTCTGGAGAACTACTTAAAACATTTTATATTATACATTTCTCAAAATAAGAAACTTTAAAATAAACATTGTTAAAATCCCTTTAAATGAGAAAAACATTTTTAAATTAACTCTCAAAATAAGAATGTTTAAAATAACATTAAACTTAAAAAAAACCTGTTTTTAAAATGCTACTTGGACGAATACAGGAATGGGAAGAAGCACACCTTCGATTTACAAACTACGAGACTTCAGAAAACATTCAAAGGTCCTCGCTAATGTGTCGTCATGTTTGGCAAATGTATGTTATTAATAAAGCATTTTTCAGTCGTGCTGATTTCATTTTGCAGGTTATTCTTTCCACTTATTGGTTCTGTTTCTTTGTAGGAAACAGCAGGATATGGTCGTTTAGAAAATACATATGAGAATATTTCTGAACTAAGAACTATTTAAAACTTTGTATAATTCATACGTTTCTCAAAATAATAAACTTTAAAATAATAAACATTGTTAAAATGCTACCTGGACCGGCACAGGAACGGGAAGAATCATCCGGGATTTACAAATTAAGAGACTTCACAAAACGTTCAAAATGTCCTCACAAATGTCTCGTCATGTTTGGCGAATGTATGTTATCAATAAAGCAATTTTTCAGTCGTGCTGATTTAAGTTTTTTTGTCACAAGGTTATTTTTTCCACTTATTGGATCTGTTTCTTTCAAAATAATAAACTTTAAATGTTTTTGATGCTACCGGTACAAGAACGGGAAGGAGCACACC